TAAGCAAATCGAGCTTGTGGTGGAACGGACCCGCATTCTTACATGAACAGGTAATTGACTTTAGTCAATCACTAGATTTAGTTAGTAAACAAAACAGTTTGCCGGAATTACGCAAAAAACAAACTACTGTCATGACTTGTAACAGTTTAGGTATTGTGTTTGATTTTAATAAGTTTTCTTCATTTTGCACACTTCAGCGTTCCTATGCATATGTATTGAGATTCGTTCATAACCTCAAATCAAAACTTAAGTGTGATAGTTTGACAGGTCCTTTGTCAGTGACAGAATTAAAAGAGTCGTTGAGATTTATTGTTCTAAGAGTGCAACTGAAATCATTTCCAGAGGAACATAAAGCTTTATTAAGTAAAATTTCAATAAAATCATCTCGTGGCTTATTAAGTTTAAATTTGTTTTTAGATAACAATAATATGATCCGAGTGGGAGGTCGATTGTTTAATTCGCCTGATTTCTCATACAACAAGAAGCATCCTATGCTGTTGTGTGGTAAGCATTATGTAACACAGCTGATTTTCAAACAAGAGCACCTACGGCTATTACACGCTGGACCTCAACATTTACTTGCGCACATTAGGGAGACCTGGTGGCCTTTGGGTGGTAGAAACCTGGCTAGAAAAACTATATTACAGTGTAAAATCTGTACTCGTATGAACGGTGAAACAGTGAAACCAATAATGGGAAATCTACCAAAGGAACGCGTAAAGGCTGATTTTCCTTTCATAAATAGTGGTGTTGATTATGCTGGTCCATTCTATATATTGAATCGAAAGGGAAGGGGCTCTAAGCTTGAAAAGTGTTATTTATGTTTGTTTGTCTGCTTTACTACTAAGGCTTTGCACTTGGAACTTGTTACCAATTTAACCTCTGAATACTATATTTTAGCATTAAAAAGGTTTATATCTCGTAGAGGAAAACCACTTTGTATTTTTTCTGACCACGGTAGGAATTTTGTGGGTGCTAAACGGGAACTTGCAAATTTCTTACGTGGGGAGTCTCAATCTATAATTGATTATGCTTCATCCAATGGGATAGAATTTAAATTCATACCACCCTACGCACCTCATTTTGGCGGTTTATGGGAAGCAGGGGTGAAATCCTGTAAACACCACATCACCCGGGTGTTAGGCAATAGTCATTTAACTTATGAGGAGTTCAGTACAGTTTTGGCACAAATCGAAGCTGTCCTGAATTCCCGTCCTATGTATTCTCTGTCCTCAGACCCAACAGATTTTACCCCACTCACTCCGGCACACTTCCTGATCGGCCGACCGCTGACCTCACAAGCAAGCGAGGATGTCACAAGCACTCCATCACACTTATTATCCCGGTACAAGCGCATCGAGCAGCTTAGGCAACATTTTTGGAGGCGATGGTCAACCGAGTATATTGGGGAACTACAGACTCGTACTAAGTAGAAGGAATCAAAAGGAATATTAGCACCTGACACTTTAGTGCTCATCAAAGAAGATAATGTACCTCCCTTAAAGTGGCGTTTGGGAAGAATTTTGTCTGTGTTTCCAGGGAAAGACGGCGTTCCTCGAGTGGCCAGTATAAGGACAGCTAATGGAGTCATTGAGAGAGCGTTTCCGAAGATATGTCCCTTGCCAGTTTCAACAAAGGAGGAAGATGCATTTACTAACACATCTGTTCAACGTTGTTGAGAGCAACTGCACAGCTCTCAAGGCCCACCGGCATGTTCATGAATTGCTCCATCTAGCGATCGGACGTAACAACGCACGAACAAGGGCATGTTTCAACTGGCAACAATCTGTCACCGTTGGAAGCAGTTATCACCGGAACGGACGGGATGGCGTTGTATATCAATATAAAACCCAAGAGCACGATCGGCGGAGCACTTCCTTTGGCCAAAGGGGTCCAGCTTCGACTCCTCTCAGACTACATATATATATTCAAAATGAATGTAACGAAGTTGAAAATATATCTTTATTTATTTATTGAGAAGTTCGCTTTATTTCCTCAACAAATACAAGAAAAATAATAGTAGTAGAATTTAAATAAAAATCGCTAAATTGATGGCGTGATGGGACACGTCTTATTACTACATAACACAGACTCCTACTTAATTTTTGTTTGAAATCGCAATCGCCAAAGATGGCAACATGTATGTAAATACGTTTTGGATTGGATAAGTTAGAGTGCAGTCACGGTTGAATGATAAATTTGGTGTAACAATGTACTGACGTTGATCGACGTCCGCTGACGTGTCACTTGCATATATTGTAAATTCATTCATTTCATTCATTCATTTCATGTAAAGTATTTTCTAACATAATTACCTCATATTAAAATCATTTTTAACCCCTTGAAAATCTTACAATCCTTGCAAACAACCCCTAAATTGAAAAAAATCACAAAAAAATACTTTGGTCTGACATAAAAAGTTGTAAGTATAGAGGAAGTAATATTTTATATTCTCTATAATAATTATCAAATTTTTAACCCCCTTTCAACCCTTGAAAAACTACCCCTTGATAAAAAATTGTTAAAAAAAATACATTTATTTATTAAACAAAATCTATTGAAATTGGGTTATTTATTAAACACGTGCTCATTCCTTTGCAGACGGAAATATACTGGTCACATTATAACGAATAAACGGAGCACGCACAGCGGATCACATGGCTTTTTCGTTGGCACCTTCACTCAAATGTGTTACATATATGTCGTGGCCATATCGTAGATTTGCTCATTTCATGAAATGCTCGAGTATTTCATGAAATGGTCGCATTTCATGATGTGGCCAACTTAATTTGAACAGATCATTAAATCGTCAACGTTTAACGATTTTGTCATCCACATTTGGCCGGATCGTATAATTAGGGTGTCCATAAAATATTTAATAAAAATCCAGAATATGTTAAGAACTTGTTTATTGTCATTTGAGTCCGAATGACACAAACAAATTGAATCATATTTTTTAAGAAAATACACAAAGCAAAGATTTTTTTCTAAATTAAACATCAACGTGTCATGTAGTTACACAAATGTAAACGTCATTTACATTTAGAAAACTAACAAATATTTGGAAATTAAAAGGTACTTTGGTACATATTGCAATAGTAGGCTTGATTCTCATCCGTACTTTTTACTTCATCCGCAGTTTCCAAAATGTCATATTTTGGCAACCAGTAATAGTCCATGGATTTCTTTTGCGTAGTCACCCTACTCTCCTTAATTTGTTTCATAACCTAAAAAAGAAAAAACATTACCTTTATTATGTCATAATTCACAAACGAAGAATAATATTAATTTAATAGAAACACAATACGTTAGCTGGCATAAAGTATTTTAATAAAATAAGTGAATAATAATTTAAGAGTAAAGTACTAACCTGTGTAATGCGATCCAACCCACGGTTTTTTTACATTTTACTCAGTTTTTGCTTAACTTGATTAGTACTCGAGAACCTTTTCGTCGAAAACCCTTTTGTTATCATTTTCTTCCGCATTTAATAACAAATTATGCACTTTATCACTGCGAGAAACAACATTGTCGGCAGCGGCCGCCATTTACAAATATAAACAAAGCGCTTGCAGCGCCTCTACCGGTAACTAATTTAACAACTTTACGATAAGGTCAAATAATTTTGGCCATTTCATGAAGAAGCCGCGCGTTTAGTTGGCCATATCGTGAAACGATTTCTCATCATTGATCTGCCCAAACCACATCATGATGTGGCCAATAGATAGCGAGCATTTCATGAAATGAGCAAATCTACGATATGGCCACGACATATACATATAAGAACGTTGGTATGTATTCATGCCTACGTTTCCAAAATATATGAGCCATATTATCTGGCCTAGCCTCTCTATTATACTGCATACTTTCACATTGCTCCAAATATTCACACTCCGAAATTTTCAGTTACTAAGTAGAAAAAAATATGATAAGTTTTTGGACCATAACTCCTTCAATTTTCATGCTATCACAATTTATAAAAAACCATTGTAAAGGTAATTAAGAGAGCTACAACATCCTTCATTGCAATATATAGTAAAAAACCTTTTTCTAAGAGAGGCTGTGATTGCGCTGCCACGCGCTCTTTAAACAATTATATCTCTGTCAATTTTTGTTTGACAGAAAAAACAAAAAAACCAAATTGTTTGTCAGAAAAATACCTAAATTTTTGATCCGTACACTTTTATACGTATTTGTCGTCATTTTTGAGATATTATGAAAAAAAAGTGAGTTTTTCAAAAATTTGAAATTTTGTTTTTATTTAAATCGTGACTTTTTTGAAAAATATGTGTCCTGAAGCAGCCAGACTGATACTATCTATCAAACTCTTCATAATAAAGTTAATTCTAGGCGGAATACGATTAATTTTAATTTTGGTGGAAATGGCACTTATGAAACCCATTGATTTAAAAGAAAAAACATTAGATGCTCCCCTTATTTGCAATACAGCTCACTTATTTTACGTGCAAAAGACTTTTATTTTAAAGCTTATTTCAAACACTACAAAACCCTTTTGTATTAGAATGCATAAAATGCATCTGCTCGCCGCTAGATGGCATTGACCACATCGATTAAATTTCAGACAAAATAAAAAACGGCTTTGATCTTTAATATCTAGCTTAATATTGCATTTAGAATACTTTATAAAAAAAACAAATTGTTTATTGTTTTACCTGCTACAATTTTCTTCTTTATAAAGTTTTCGATAAAACGTATATTCTTGGAGATATTTGCTGATGATGAAAAACGTGAAAAAATTGCAAATTTTTAATTGCCAATAACTTGAAAAGTATTGGGTAAGATGAACCTAATTCCAAAATTGTATGCAATTCGGTTCACAGTAAAAAAATTCGGAGCAATAATGCTTCAATGACTGCACTATTGATGTGATGATGAAATAAATATACCTGGTGCGGGCGGCAGTGGTGGCAGTAGTGCGGCGCGCGTGCTGCCACACGCTGCAGCACGCGCCGCCGCTGTGATGTGATGATGAAATATACCTGGTGCGGGCGGCAGTGGTGGCAGTAGTGCGGCGCGCGCGTGTCCGCCACCTGCATGCAGCGCGCATGCTGCCACACGCCGCAGCCCGAGCCGCCACATTGCACCATCAGCCCTTCTTCCACGTGGAGACCGCAGATGCACATTATCACCTCCTCTGTGCATACAAAAATAACGATCAATACATCGTTCAGATAGTAACACTTACACCAAAGAGCCTAACCCTAAAGTATATACATACTCGTACATCACCTCATCGATACATCCCGGGAAACTTCTTGAGCAACGATCATAGACAGGGGTAGTTGCAACTTATCGTTCTATTATTGACCTATCCTTCTTAAAACTTCAGTATTATTTCAATAATAGTATTTGCTTCAAAATAACATTACTCACCAGATTTAGTCTTCTGCAAGAAGCCAGCCGGTAGAGGCTCTTCAGGTCCAAGTATTTTGGTCAGATGTTCGGCGCAGTCAGATTTTGCAGAATTATAAGCCTGTACCAAAAAATAAAAATAATTATTTAATTCTATCTCGCGTTAAAAGTGTTTCATGCAACTGAACTCCAGTTTTTATCAAAAATAAGTGTTATTCTTTACTGTAATCATGGTGTTATATTAGAATAACAGATATCATGTTTTTAAATATTAAACATACATGCCTGGCAACCATTATCTGGGAATAAAGTTTTTATTTACCTTTTTAAGCGTCACAGCTGCACCTCCTAAAGCAGATTGCCTTCCATGTTCTCTCATGGCGGTATTGAAAACTGAATTCATATCAGAGTCGAACTGCGCTACAGACTCGTATGGACCGTTCGATATGTTCTCCTCTATAGTCGATAGATCACTGACTGGTTGGGCAGAATCTTGAGACTTCACTACTTCAGAGGACTTCAAAAACGGTGTACAGAGGAATTTGTCTTTGTCGTCTATAACAGAGGTTTTATTGCACAAAATAAGTAAAGAAATAAAATTACATTATAAACGCCCGTTTTCTAAAAGGGCGGTCAAATCATTATTAAACTAACATGCCTGTATTTTAACAGCAGTGTCAAATCATCATGTGTTTCTAAAACGAAAATTTGCGAAAACTGTAACCAAAATGACGCTTGTTGTAACAATTTTTGAAGTGAAACTTTTTTACGCACGCTTGACCTGGGGGGTAAGCTGGCGAATGCGTTACGCGTTACGAAAAGTGTGTTCGGGCCAGGCGAACGGGAGTAGAGTGGGGGATATAAGCAAAATAAAGCAGTGCGCGCACACATTTTCTTTCTCTCTTTCTGATATAGCTTTATACAATACTTTGGTCTCCCATAAACGCCCACGTGCTCCACGTGACGATGCTCTACGGAGTCCACACACCAAGGTCAGCGTATGAAAGAGACAACAACAGTATATTTCTATAGTAAGCATCGTTTCGCGGCGTACGGCGTTTATTGGAGGACCAAAACCTAATTAAACCTGACACCTCTGTCATCTGATAGAGTGATGAGTTGATTAGGTTTTTAGCAACAGTTAACATTTGACGGCATGATAATTGATTTTATCGCTTCAAACAGCCTTTCAGAAGCCGTCAAGGTTGTTTATTGAATTTTCTGATATTATGACTCAACTTAATGATGGTTAAACAGTAAAAGTATATAAAGGACTTGCAAATTACAATACACATACCTTTTATTGTTGTAACGGCATTGTAGAGCGCTCGGAAAACTTTCTTGAGGCGTGCTGTCTTATCCAGCGATGGATCGTCACTTAATTTTATCAAGTTCTTTACGGTGTCTTCCTTCGAGGCTCGCAGTGCTCGCAGGCGTGAAAGGAAGACGGCCGGGTTCATAGTGTCGGGTAAAGCGAGAGGGTTGACGTTTATATTGACGTTGGGAGAGACGGTAGGAGTCGGGGTAGGGATGGGGGTGGGCGTAGGAGTTGGTGGAACAGGTGCTGATTGTACTGGTGTTGCTATCGGAGGAGATGGTGGCAATCCAATGGATAGACGATCTCTGATACGACGCACCTGTTTGCGAAACCATATCAGGTTTTAATTTTCTTTAAATAATTGATATATCAAATATCAACATTCTTAGCTTAGTGCGAGGATTTGAATTAAATAATACTAGAAAAACAGTGAACCAAATGTTCACCAAAACCAGATTTCTCGAAAACCGGAAGTGCTACGTTACTCAAATCCGGTTTGTAGTCTTATCAGACTATTCTTAACTTATAACTTAAATATTCTCTTTATCTATCTCTTACGGTTTGGCCGCTGAAACAGCACCACAGACAGACGGACTTGTCTAATAGATAAGAGATATTGCACATTATACAAAAATTAAAAAAAATACTTACGTTTTCAAGATTTCTGAACAAAAAGCAGTGCCTTTCCTTCACCAGATTTCGCTCTTTCGCCGTGAGCGGTTTCATTTGAGGCTCCTGCCACAGCTTGTTTAAATGCTGTTGATATTTTAGGATGGTCATGTTCTTAACATCACAAGCAGTGACGGTCTGCTGCTCAGACTTCTTATTACATTTGACCGCTTTTCTAGGACGCCCTACGCGAGGCTGATTGGATGTCTGCGATTGGTTAGAAGTATTCGAAGGCGTTCTAGTTTGCGTTTTAACGGGAAGTTTAGTGATCCTCTGTGACTTTCCTCCTATGACACCTCGACAGTCTTCCGAATCACATTTACATGGCTGCAATAAAATGATAATGCATTAAATTTTTCATTAATAAATGTAAGCACATGTATGCGTAAATATGAATCGTGCTATATCTACCTGTCCAACAGCAGGATTGAATAGCGAGAAATTGTAGTCATATGTCAATTCCTCGCCAGGTTGTATGTCTCGCAGAGCGAATAAAGCCATTCGGAATGTTCCTAAACAAAAGAGATATCAAATCTTAATTGCAAATATCAATAGAGCAAGTTATAATTTAACTCGGAAAAAGTATAATTTATATATATATCACACACCCCTTGTGTTAGGCTATTTTGTTGATGTAAGGGTTAAGCGCCAGTTTTCGCGATTTGAAATCATCTAATTTTTCTGCGTCGTTTCGAGTTGGGCTTCAGATAAATCTGAGCACTTCGTGTTCACTTTAAGATCAAATAAATATCAAATTGATACAAACTGACAGATATGCTTAACTTTACAGTAATAAGACAGCAGTTGGGGCGGCAGGGATGGTTGACGAAGCACCCGTCACCACCCATTGTTTGGCCGTCGATCACTAGCCCGCTGTTAACGTGTAAGCTAAGCTGATGATAATAAGACACTATCATTAGAGGTCCACTCTCGCAGTTGGGGTGGCAGGAGTGGTTGACGAAGCGCCTGTCGCCTTCCATCCTGTGGCCGTCGATCACCAGCCCGCTGTCAACGTGTAAGCTAAGCTGAAGATAATGAAGAAACTGTACCATTAGAAGTCCACTTCTGCATCTCGCAGTTGGGGCGGCAGGAGTGGTTGACGGAGCGCCCGTCGCCGCCCATCCTGTGACCGTCGATCACCAACCCGCTATCAACGTGTAAGCTAGGCTGATTATAAAGAATATACTGTACCTTTCGAGGTCCACTTCTGCATCTCGCAGTTGGGGCGGCAGGAGTAATTGACGAAGCGCCCGTCGTCGCTGCCCATCCTGTGACCGTCGATCACCAGCCCGCTGTCAACGTGTAAGCTAGGCTGATGATAAAGAAGACACTGTACCATTAGAGGTCCACTTTTGCATCTCGCAGTTGGGGCGGCAGGAGTGATTGACGAAGCGCCCATCGCCGCCCATCCTGTGACCGTCGATCACCAATCCGCCGTCTAAGTGTAAGCAGTAGTGGTGGGTGTCGCGCGCGTAACGTGTTGCCATACGCTCCTATTACCGTTTGTAAGAAACAAAACGTTGCATTAGTATTATTTTAGTCCAGCAAATATAGGCATTTGACTAAGCCAAAATTCGCATAGAGCTAAAAATTGGCAGAGATGTCATAAAATAAAATGTCAGAGGCAAAATAAACAATATCTTTTAAAGTTAAGTTAAAGTAAAAGTGCTCTAGTATGAGGTGGACTTATCGTGGATGTACTACCGTTTTTTCTGGCTCGCGCTGTCTTTTAGCTGCAACAATACTATTCTTTTGAGTGTACATTTTACGACACTGCACGTGGACTTTCATAGATTGCTTGTCTTTCAAGTATTAAAAAAACTTATAATTTATTTTAACGCATCAATCATAGTATCCTCATTCAATTTATACAAGTTTTATTATGTAAGTAACACAAACCAATAGTTTCTTATTTTCATGTATATTGAACGTCCTGTACACATCAAGCTGCATTTTAGTGCATATTATGAAAAATATGAATTTTCTAATTATTAAAACCGCGATATCTTACGAATAGTAAGTCGTGAGAGAATAGTGACTGGACCGTTTCTGTAGAATATTGAATGATCTACAACTTTTGTCTGACCTATTTTCACGATAAAACTTACCGTTTTGGAGAAAACTGGAAAAAAATCTTAATTATGTACGTTTGACCTTGTTTTTTCTTTTTCAGAAGTAGGATCAAATGGGTTTTGACATTTTATTTATAATGGTAACGTCTCTGCCAATTTTCGGCTGTATGCGAATTTTGGCTAAGTTATGACTTATCTTTGTCTATTTTGACTGGATTATTTTATATAGCGCATGATTAATGGAATATTGCTTTATTATTACTAAAAAGATACCGTCTAATCTAAAACTGAATACCCATTCATTTTTATACTATTTACATGCACAATCAGTGTACAGATGTAATGCACTCAAATTAGCTAGTCTTTGGTCATTCAGTTGATTCAGTCGCCAGTTAGACACGAAAGTGGGAGCACGCTTCGATCATTCAAAAGTGTGGAGGGGCGTTCAGTTTTAGATTAGACGATCTACACTGATGAAATAGTACTTCACGCAGTGCAGTAATAGGCAACTTAGGCCACAAGTATCGTATACTATTTTATAGCAAGTGTGACATAAACCCGCCCCGGACGCGGGCAAGAGGGGAGGTTCGGGGGGGCCCGAGGCCCCCCCGAGGGATGCGATTAGTGTTTTGAAAGTAAAATTCATGTATTGCAATCACAAAGAATTGCAATACAGACTGCAAGTCAAACTCTGAAAAGAAAGAATTCCGGTTCAGATTACCATTTTGAAAGTATATTTCAAAAGGAAAAAATCAAATATCATTACAACAAAATAGAATTTCAATGTATCCATGAACGTTTATTCCTTGATTGGCATAACAATATATTAAACAAAGATACAATTTCTCGCGGAATGAATTATAGCTAACCGTTTCTCCTTGTTTTGGCTGTCACTTAAAATCCCTAACCTATCGCTAATTTGTCATTTGTTTGCTGTGAGTTTTTAAGCTCCAAATGACATTTAAATGTGTTTCCTTTTATTTTTAAAATTGACCTGTCAAAGTACGGCCGCTAACCATACAAACAAAAGCTTTTGCTAACGCCATCTATATTATTCTAATAACATGCAAATATCTATGGAGCATCAACGACACTTTAATTTGAAATTAGACATATACCCAGTACACAAAAAATAGTGCAAACACAGCCCTGTGTCACTAATAAGTGAGTATCCTATTAAGCGGGTGTATAGCATCAAAAAATTTGCCACCGACAAACACAACAACAAACACAAACCAAAAAATATTTTTAAACTTTTCTATAATGTTTTTAAGATTCGCAACGCTTATAAACTATATGTTTTAAGACAGTATTCGAAAAAGCAAGCTATAACCCAACACACAAATGTACATCATTAACCACAAACCTTAAATTCTTTATCTGAAACCACCTCTCCGACATATTCCAAAATAAAGTCGCCAGATGTTATTTTATGTTTCGTGCGTACCCCCCACCCTTTATTTTCAGTCATAAACTTTTCCAAGCCCGATGCCCATTCATGACGTTGAATACGTTGGTTCTTACACCTGTCACTGGAATAAATGAATCATTATAATATTTCATCTAAACAACAATGGTAAATAACCAAATGATCTCATGCGTTTTACCTGCATGGACAAAGTTGAGGAGAACATTCTGAGAAAACTAATCGGTTGATACAGTCTTCATTGCAACCTGAGGAAGGAGCACAGTTGCACGCAACACTTTCGCATTCATCTGTCGATGGTTTAACGTCATAGTAGACATCTAAAAGAAACACGTTTACTATTATTGAGAAAAGTAATCAAATTAAAAGAAAATCTATAAACATTGATAATGGACATACTTGTGCGTATCTTTTTGTAATTCCATGAAGGCACTGGCTGATTATAATGTTGCTGCCACCAAATATCGTATGGTAATGAAAAATGTTGCTGTCTTCTACGAACCCAACGTTCACAATATGGCGGAGGCGCCAATAGCCCCGGTGGGAATTCAGTCTGAGTGACAAGGTTTTTTCCTTTGCCATCCGGTTTAGGACTGAAAAGAAAAAATATATTTTTTAATTTTCACATAAAGCAATGGCCCTAAAATACTTAAATGTCATGTATAAATCACTTACTCTTCTTTGTAATAATCTGAGAATAAACCAGCTACTAAAAACTTTTTACGTAGTCTAGGATTTCTTTTAGATACTACAGGTTTTTCTCTATTGTCGACACTACTTGCTGGGCTATCATCGCGTGATGAAGCCACACGCTTCTTACAGATAATATTTTTGGACAGTATATCTATGCTTTTTTCAAAATCTATTTCCTTTTCATTGAGCGGCAATGGATCGTTTTCATCATGATCACGCAATGTGTCTAAAGATGGTTCTCTCGACTTAACATTGAGCTTTTTACTGACAACAGTATCGAGAGAACTTTCACGAGAACTTGACTGAACTTCGCGCATTTTCTTATTGACCTGACGGGACCGAGACTTCCTTCTATTGGTTATATTGGCTGGTTTTAATTTGTCATTGTCAAGTTCAGTAACAGTTTTCTTGTCTATTTTCTTATTTTTACTTTTGAGGTCTTCATTGTTGTTATCTGAACTTCGGGTTAGTCTTCTTTCACTGGGACATAAAACAGCTAAGCTAGACTTAGGTCTTAGTGCGATTTTATTATTTTTCTCAATAACTTTTCTTTTAGAGAATATCTCTTCTATTTCCTGAGATGGAGACACTGCCCTTGTTTTTCGTTTTAGGCGCTCCAAATTATCTAATCTACTTGCAGGCCGGTGTGATTTTAAATTCAAAAGACTCAAAGGTATGCTATCTTCTGGATCGTTGCTAATCGAACTAGCTAAAGATGGGATACTATCTGTTTCACTGGATACTTCCCACTTGTTAATATGATTTTTAATTTCTTTGTCACCTTTGTTTTGCTTTAATTGTAAAGCAGGCGCTCTAAGAATTGAAGAATTGGAACTTTTCTTCTCATTTGCATTTTCCAACTTGCTGTTGAGTTTATTACTAGCATTTGTGGATATTTCTTTTCCTTGTAATTTTTCAAGAGCGACGACGGTCAAACGGCCTTGTTTCGGACACTCTTCTTTATTCAATACAACCTTAAGCTCAGGATTTTTTGTAGTGGTTCGTTCTACGAAACTACTCGTAGCTTCACCGTCTTTCGGTACTCTTTCAAAAACTGAGTTATTGTCAGTTTCTTCCGATGTAAAATGGCTATCAGAAACTACCGTTTGATTATTTGTCTCAATTTTCTTCTTTTTCTTTTTGATACTCGGAAAGCCAGTTCTGTTAATCGCTTTCCTGCGTCGAGTCTTTTTCTTTATCGTATCAACTACTTTTCCGTCACTAGAATCATTATTATCAGATTTTTTTATGGGTAGTGTGATTCTCTTTGATGGGTCTATAAGTGGTAATCTTTCTGCTTGAATCTTTGGAACTAATAATTTTGATGGCAAAACTAGCTTACTTTCTCGAATAATACTATTAGACATTTTTTTCTTCTTTTTATCACCAGTGTCATCATTTTCATTACTACAATTTCTTTTTGTTTGTCTTAAATTATGACCACCACTCGTTTCTTGTATTTTGTCTGACAAAACAGCAGCTATCGATTCACCTCTCTTTGGCCTAATAATAGGATCTGGTGTTTCTGATATCAAAGCTAATGGTATCTCAGACTCAGTGTCAATTGGCGTTAGCAAGGCGTTAGCGGTCTTACTTTCAGAATTTCTTAATTTCGATTTTGTTTTATTACTTTCAGATAAACCACTATTCACACAAATAGATGATTTAGGGATTTGATCCTCTAAATCTATGGAGGGTTCAAATATTCCCGTGGGCTTATCAACACTTACTATAATTGTCTGATCTAAAACGGGTTCTGCAACTTTCGATTTTTTTGTATCTAAAACCTTTCCTTTAGAAACTGGAGATTTTATTACAGTTGCTCTTGTGTTGATTTGAGGTGTTTCCTTTATTTTTAATTTATCTTCAAGTACCTTATTTGATATATCAGGGCTTGAATTCCGTTCTTTCTCTAGTATACGAGATTCGATTGACTTTCTAATATTGTTGTTTAAAAGAGTATCTAAAACTTTTGTGGCTGCACTTGGATTTATTTTTGATACCAAATTACTAGTAAGGCCTTCAAGTCTATTTTTCTTTCTGGTCATTATTTCCGATTTTTGAGCTGGTGGCATAGAACTTTTATATAGAGATCTAGCAGACATACTTTTAAGAGGATCAATAACAGATGAATTACTGTCGTTCGCACTTTGTTCACTATCATTTGTTAAACAACATTCTGACTTTTCAGATTCTTTTACTTCTTCTTTAGCATTGCTTTGATTATCTTTAGAAGTATTTGTCACATTAGATCTTTCTTTGTCTTCTGATAACTTTTTAGAGAGCGATTGTACGACTTGATCTAAACTTGAATGTGTAACAACCTTATCAGCTTCTAGCCTGTGGCGCTTTTTTGGTGTAACTATTGGAGCAGAATTACGCATAGGCGATGATTTTGTCTCAGATCTGGGAGACATTCTTGGCGTTTCCTGTTTACATGTTTCTGTTTTTATATCTATCTCTTTCGTCTTTGGTAATGACTTTTCCAAATCATGAACCATTTTATGAACAGCTTTTAATTTTTCAGATGTTTCATATATCTTTTTTGATAGTTCTGATTGTTCTGCACTTGGTTTCTTTATGGATAAATCATCATCTGTCACATCGAGCAAGTGACTCTTATTTGTCCCAAGCTGATTCGAAGCATTGTTTTTGTCTGCTAATTCTAATGAATTGTATTTTGTAGATTTAGCACAAGGGTCACTGTTTTGGATTTTCACCTCTTGTGTAATGGGGTTGATTGTAGTTTTAGCACCTTCTCCGCTTTTCTTGCTTTTTTCGTGAAGTATTTTTAATTTAGGTGTTTCATCAGAAACATTGTTTGCCATTTCACCCATACAATCAGTTTCAGTACACAGAAATTTTTCAGGGCTTGTGCCATTTTTAGAATTTTCATCAAAATCTGCGGTAACTTTACTAAGGCTTAATGATGTAGCAGAATTTATATGATAATGCCTTTTTTTAAGTGGTAATTTGTGTTCATTTGTATCTTTACCTCCTTTGCTTTGAGATTCTGTTAACTGTTTTTTATGTCTACGCTTAGAAGTTGGCGTAGTAATTTCTTGATTGTCTGACGTTTTCCGTTTTTTTGATCCTCTTTTCATAACTTTAGGAGCTGGAACATCTGTTACTGGTTTTTCCGCAGCTTTTAGCTGGATTTGTGACGGGCTGCTCATTAGCTTGGGAGCAATTTGACAAAGTTTTATAAAATTGTTAACTAAACCATCTAAGTCCTGGCTAAATTTGTGGTCAACTAAGTCGATAACTTTGGAACATGATTCTCTACATTTCGACACTGATCTCGAACGATGTCTCCTTTTGCTACGATGTCTATGATGTTTGTTTTCTGTTTTGACAGTTATTCTAGATGGTCTTTCTATAGGTTTTAGATTTATTTTAGGCGGGGCAAGCACTACTGTTCGCCTATGTTTTCGAATATGGAATGATGGTTTTATGTGTGGTTTCTTAAAATTCAGAAACACATTTCTAGCTAATGATTTGTTTGGGACGTAACTATTTTTAGCTTTTTCAAAAATGTTTGGTGGAGGTTTCATTTGAGTGTCTTTCTTTCCTGTAGCTGAACTTCCATGTTTTGATGGTTTCTTGTTCTTAGGCGACAGTGTCCCTGTTAGATATTTTAAACTGGAATCCGTTTCTTTCTTTGAACTTGGTGGCTTTGTCACTGTACATATAGGCGACGAACCAAATTTATGTGTAAAAATGGGTTTTAATGATGGAAGTGATCGACCAGTATGTACTTTTGAAGGAGATTTTAGTAAAGTATTGTTATTATTGTGACTAACTTTAAAAATATTATAAGTTGTTACTGGTTGTTGGAATCCGCTAAATACAGGACCTGGGGCGAAAGGATCGGAAGAATTGGGTCGTAACAGTTGTTTTTTGCTCATTTTTGAAAATCCGAAATCATATTGTGTATGTAATGGATATTTAGTACACACACTTACGTATTTTGGACTTGCACTTGGTTTTCTTAAGTAACTATCACATTCAGAATCACTGGAACTGTGGCCTAGCGTTAAACTGCTAAAAGTTTTATTAGTTAATAGTAAGATTTCTTGATCAGAAACAAAATGTTTTTGGTTTTTGTAATAAGATCGGTCTCGAACTGATCTCGTCTTTTTTAATTTACGTGTCTTTCGTCGGGCGCTTCTCATGCTGTAATCAGTTTTATAACCGGATTTATCACTTTTGTAACCTGATTTATTGTCACTCTTATATCCGGAACGGTAGTAATCACTTTTGTATCCCGATCTGCAGCCATAATCACTTTTATAACCAGATTCTATTAGTCTACTACAACTTTTATATGGTTTAAATTCATGATCACTTTTATAACCTGATAGTAAATCTTTATATTTTGGATTTAAATCAATTTGCTTCCACGTTGGATCTAAGGGATCATCAGCCACAGCTTCATTTTCACTATGAGTGTCTCTCCATGTATTGGCAAATGATTTATTACTTTTCTTTGGCAAATTTGCTAATTTACTATTTAGTTCCTTTCTTTTTGCGTATACTCCGGATAAAACTGCTCTATTAGTTGTTATTGTGTCATCGTCTGTATCAGCCGAATCGTATTGGTTTTTATCCTTCAATGTTTTTGGAGCACTTTTATTAGATTTCGCTTTGCTTTGCGGTCTTCGACCCACTTTCTTTCTTGGAGGATATAATACTCTATCCGTTGCATATAACATCCTATCTAGTGCAGCTATATCTAATTTTTGATCACTTTTTTTTGTTTTATCAAATTTATTTTGTTCTTGCTTTAATGGAAGTGGCACTGGTGATGGTGCTTCTGTTTTTATTTGTTTAATTTCATTTTCTATTCTCTTTTTCTGAAAATCACAATCACTTGAATCTGATCTGTTTGATATTGTACTCCTATTTTTAGACTTAGATCTCATCGTTCTCCTTTCTCTTGAATTTTCTTTTTGTACAGATTTTCTACTTAATCTGTTATGAGCATCATCCACATCGTGTCGCCTCAAAGGCGAATGTGTTGGAGAATTGTGATTCGAAAGAATCCCAGAATCTGGCGATACATTCGGTGGATCATTATTATTATGAAAATTCATAACATTAACGGCTGACTTGTCTTCTTTTTGAGATTCACTGCCTTTGTTTTCGTACTCCTCTTCAACCTTTCTTACTTTTCGTGGTCTGCCTCTCTTCCGTCTTGACTCCACTATAACATTTTTTACATCTTCTTGAGATTCTATAGAGTTTGTACTGATGGTATCAAGTTTTTGAACATCTATCTGGTTCATAGAATTAATATCAGTACTCACTAATGTCATAGGGGAGTTTTTTAATAAATCACTAGCACTCCCTATTTCAGAACCACCTTGGGATATATCAAGATTCATAAAATCATTATTATCTACACAATCGTCAAGACTCGGATTAGGTATCTGTATATCAATAGAATCAGCCACTGATGTTATTTCTTCCAAATCTTTATTAATTTGAGTAAGTTCTTCAGTTTGTTGAGGGCTTAGATGTTGAGTGCTGGTTAAAAAATTTGGCGGTATTTCAGGCAAAGTATTTATTTGACCTAGTACACAATCACTTATAGACCCAACGCCATCTATTGGGTTTGTATTAAGACCACATGATAACGTAGAAGCAGATGTTGCGCTAATAGGTGTAACTGGAGCGGTACTACTTAACAGTTGTGTTTGTGCTACGAACTGTTGTAATAAACTAGACGCATAATGTGTAGTATTCTGATTAACAACATCCGAGTTAGAACACTCATTTTCTGAACCAGATGAGTCTGCCGTAGCTCTTTGAATCGCTGCTGTGACCAGTTGAGGTGTAAGTTCCATTTCACTACTTGATCCGTCTCCTAAAAACGATATCATTCAATATCATTAATGTCAAATTAAAGCAAGTATAACAAAACTGAACATAGTTGTATAATTTTATTTCATCTTACCGTTATCCACAATGGACTTATCGTCGTTGTCTGGTGACGTATTATGCACAGAAAAGGTCGAGAAATTGGGCTGCTGCGCCGGCGCGCTCGATGTCTGTTCTGGAAATAGTTCCGCAAGGTCTGCATCGTCGATGACCTGACAACAATAAATGTTTTGCTTTAGATGAATTCATTAATCATAATAATTAACATTTCATATTCAAGATTTTTTGTAGATTGTTAAGCTATAAATACATAAAAGTAATAGCTATGAGTGGTAGCTTAGTATTATTATTAACATTAACACAATATTTACAAGATTCTTCGAAATATCTTTTAATCTCTTATTGTACCAGAATTAGCGAATGCAAATCTGGATCCTGCAATATCCTTGTTGGATCCAGCATCCGCTGAATTAATTATAATATTGAGAAGGATACAAGTACTCTACTTGTATCGAGAAAACAAAACTTTATTTGTACGAAGATTGAAGTCACGAGCACCAGCTAATAAAACATGAATACACACCTGCAGCTGGCAAGCGGCAGCAGCAAGGGCTGCACTAGAGTCATCGGCAGATGCGTGAGTGGAGCCGCCCGCAGCTTCCGTGGTGTCCGAATCCGAGGAAGACGAAGAAGAGGATGATGAAGAAGACGACGAAGAAGATGTGGACGATGAAGAACTACTTCCACAGGCATTGTTCTCCACAGCCGGTGATGCGAACTGGAACAATACATAACATAAACATTAAAATACAACACCTAGGAGATACAGTAATGTACGTACGAAAAACATTATTTATCAACACTATTAGTTGACTAGAAAGACCATCAGATACTATTAGTTCTTTTTGTTTGCATAATTTAACATAAGAAGGAGATAGAAAGCCTCTCTTGAGTTTGTTTCGCCGGTTCTTCTCAGGAAGGTCTCCCAATTTTGGAACCGGTGGTAGTTTACGGTAGTTAGGGTCAAATAAATAAACTGAAAATTACAAACAAGAATTTAAATAAAAATACTTTATTAAGTAAATTAAATAATAAATTCATACATAGACAATAAAATTTTAAAAATCTTCCAATGAAATAACCGAACGCTCAATATAAGTCTTTCGAAGGTAGCTCGACAATTTTAAATAAAAAATCATTATTCTGACGATGCAGACCTGAAAAGGCTGCGAAACGTCAATAAATAAATAAAGTTTCGTGCATTAACCCGTAAAAACTAGTTTTATATAACATTATTTATTTTAAACCTAATAAACGGATTTGTTTAGTAGGTACATTGTGATCTGATGTGTGAAAACATAGCTTATAATGACATATCGGCAAATAAATTGTTATTCGTTTTCATAAGATTACAAGCAAGAAAAAGGAAATAAGTACACAAAAAGGGAAGGTTAATACAAAAAAAACTTCCCTATTATACCAATCGGCTGATCACTGATCTATTCCGTCAACCTATGAGGCTATGTTCTGGCGCCTCCTATGTTACAATAAATAAAATAACCCAACTCTTTTGAGATTATTTGTGGTCGTTGATTATCTCTTTACTTTGTGGAATTCTCCTTTTATTTATTTTTCTAATTTCAATCCCTTTATTCAGGAATGCTTTTGCCAATAAATTCAATTCTGCAACATCCACTTATCGTTAAAATTGTCTATATATCTATTTGAACTCGCCAAATTCGCCTTAGGTACTTGTTAAATAGGTAGTCACTAACAGCTTAGTACCATCTAACTCGGATAATATCTAAGTAGTCAATTTAATAAAGACAAACATCTGTGTTTGTATACCATGTAAATATATTTGTACCGCTATACCAGATTTACCTTTTGAATGCACAACTCACGACTCTCGATAATACAATGAAAGCGACGGATTTACAACACGCCTGTATTTGACTTGACTAACACAGCCAGATCTGAGTAATACGCTCGCATGGCTATACCGGGTTAATAGCAACAAGCTATAGCTCTTAAGTAGGTACCTATATGCGAAGTGTGTTGCACTACAGAACTAGTAAGTTTAATTTTAGTATAACCTTAAGTGGTCTCGCTTGGGCATTTAATTATCACTGTCAAATTATGACCTTATTTTGACTATCATCAAATGGTTTAACGCTTTATTTACCGAACCAGTACTTTAACTGAACAGTTAAAGTAAGTTGGTGCAACTCACGTAGGTATATTGAAAACTCTTTTTTGCACACAGCAATTCACTAAGGTAGCAACATACTTAGATAATTTCTCTTCATACAAATATTGCCTACAAAGCAGGTCATAGTGCTATTTTAAAAAACGAGAAGCCATTTACAAAACATTTAAAAGCCCTCAACTTTAAAAGGTTTTGCGAGCCAATATAAAACTGAAATTGCTTTTCAGAATACACAAAACAAACCTACGGGAACAATTAACCAAAGTATTCTTGTAAGTTCAGATCGAATGTATATAAAATTCTTATTAAGGTTAATCTTAGAAAAACTTTAGTATTAGTCTAAGTAATTAAAACCTTAGGACTACTCATTCATCGACTATCAATGAATTATTTAATTTTATGGTATTACTGCCCAAGCGTGTCAAAAAAAAGATTAAATAAACGATGTTAGAGAACAACAACTTTACCTTTACCTAAATAGAAACGATATATCAAGTAGTACGAGTTATGAAACGGGTATTACTGAGTACACAATATTATAACAAGCGTCGACGGGCGTGTGTTGTTTTCGTCATTAGGTTGATTTGTCCGAGGGTGTTAATCAATAAGGCAGAAGGGCGAGCGCCCTCGGCACTAGAAGGGGTTGAGCAAGTGTCGTGTGGCCAGCCTTATCATAGCCAGCATATCAAATACCGCGGCGACTACCCCATGAACCACAGGTAACGCCAACGTAGAGTCGGCAAATTTTTATTAGGTTATAAATCAAATAAGCATTTTCAACAGTTTTTATTTCTTGCACAAATATTTTCAGATTCTTTTATTATTCCTAAACGCTGTAAAATTCCTTCCGGCAATCCGCACTGATCTAATATCTTTTTTGCGGTTTTGATTGTTTCTTATTACATTTATAATAATGATCTGCTTTATTATGTACAAGGAGAAAATAGATAAATGCGGAAGGTGTAAACAGAGTGTACGCGCCGAATTCAAAATTTACCCATAATGACCTTAGATCAACAATTCTATGATCCAAGATAATGACCAACAAAATTACTATATTTGCATAGATTAGGTACCTACTTTAAAATAGTTCGTTGCTACCACAACAGCGCTTAACAATTTATTTATAAAAAAATCAAATCAAAGTAAATTAATCAAAGTATAAGCAATCAATATTCGTAAATTAAAGTGATACAATGAAAATTGCGGAAATATTATTCGTGTCTGACTACATTTGGACTGAAGTAGGTACTTATCACTTTAACGGAACTAAATCATACAATCGCGACAAACAAATATGAAAGCTCAGTACGTTTGAATCGACAATAGAATAACGGTACAATATCTAAGCCGGCGGGCGCCGACACGAATATCACATTAATGAACTCTCTTGATCTACAGAAGATTTATTTTGCAGAAGGCACATCTTTAGATGAAATGTAAAATTTTCAATATGAAATAATAAACAGGAGACGGGCTACCAAAAACAGGTAATAAATAAAAACTATTTTAACACATACCTAAATTAAAGATTGAGTCAGCATGGTTAATAGAGTAAGAATGAAAAACACAGCCTTAAAAATATTTGCATATCATAAAGGTTATGGTTTTTATAAACATTAATTATAATATATACGGCTACAATAAACATTGAATTGATTGAAAATCAACCGTCACTCGCTCTTCTTAAACAAATAAACCCCCATAAGTCTATGAGACATGACACTTTAAGTCCAATAACAGCACTTTGAATAGTTGCCTATTCAAAATGTTTTTTTTTCCTTTTTACCAGTGACGACGCTTATTAATTAGGTTACCAATCTATAAGATGAGAGATATGTCGTACTTATCCCTTAAACGACACTCATCAAGAGTCTACAACAAGAACTTTTGGTAGTTTTTAGCTAAATTTTAATAATTTTTAAAGTTACATTCTTTACTTAAAAATAACCAATCTGATTTATTTATGACTATAAAAAACATTTGAACAAAGTATACATTGCACAACGATAGTATAAAACATTAACTGATAAAACTTGCAGTAGCCTCTCTCGATGAGTATACTTACTCCTTTTACTAAGTTACTACAAACTTTTTCTGTATCGATGAGTATACTTACTCCTTTTACTAAGTTACTACAAACTTTTTGAACTATTTAGCAAAATCTTGGTTGTCTCTAGCATCATTTAAATACAAGAAAACTTGATCGAATGCTAGTCTTACATCGCAATAAATTAAATTCTATTTAAGACATTAGTCGACGTCGCCGGTAAATAGATGATTGTACAGATCATCGACCCCACGCCAAATGTCAAGAACAATACTCAGCCAAGATCTTACATTGCGATGAAAAGAAACTATGGAAATGGAAAGGCCCTCTACGCCTCGTAACAAGCTAGTCGTGATTGAAACATTTCGACATTAGTAACGAGAAACATTGTATAAAATTATAAATTTTATTGCTCATTCGCAATAAACAAATTGCATAGTTGAAATCGATAACGCTAAAAGATCAGTCCCAATACTTATTTAATACATATTACAAGAATACTTATAAGAATAAAGTGGGCAATTATGACAACATTACATACATACGGATCGTATTATCGCCTGTTTTTGAATATAGCATCCAATGAAATCTATACTAATACTAGCTGACCCAGCGAACTTCGTACCGCCATAAAAATAGGAGTAGGTGGTAGAAGAGAAAGTTTAGGGTTGTATGTATTTTTTAATACCACATTATAAAAAAATAAATATTGTCCAAAAAAAATTTAAGGTTGTGTTACGTAGTGTTCTCCCAATTTCCTGGGATAACATTCCTCCTAACCCATATGAGATCACTACGTTACAATACCCAATAGTTTGAATTTTGGCGAAAAAAAACTTAAAATATAAATATCTCCTTAACGGTAAAGTTTCGGGCACCATGTCATAGGACCAAATCCATCAGTAATGCCCTGAATAATAACCTTCTTTAATATTTAGTACGACTTACCCTGTAACCCGGTATTCACGCTTCGATCAGTAGAAGCAGAGCACCAATGAAAAATATTACCTTTTCCTCAAATTAACCACATTCATTGACTGTTAGGCGACAAGGAGTTCGCCGGATCAGCTAGTTAAACAACAAGCAAGATACTTTTGGCGAAAAAAAAAACTTAAAATCTAAATATCCCCTTAACGGTAAAGTTTCGGGCACCATGTCATAGGACCAAATCCATCAGTAATGACCTGAATAATAAGCTTCTTTAATATTTAGTACGACTTACCCTGTAACCCTGTATAACATCACGCTTCGGCCAGTAAAAGCAGGGCACCAATGAAAAATGTTTCCTCAAATTAACCACATTCATCGATTGTTAGGCGACAAGGAGTTCGCCGGATCAGCTAGTTAAACAACAAGCAAGATCTACATAAGAAAAGGAATTATCGAAAGTCATTCAGAGCGACCATGAACTTAACAATCGCACACAATCGACCATAGGTATTCGATAACAAAGCCGGCGAAGGGCGATGAAAAGATAACATCCTTTCGTTGTCATTTTTGATAATTAGAAATTTTGGAC